TGGGTTATATATTCCTTTTCCCCCCCCCCCCCATGCATTTTATTAGATAGAGGCAAATGATGCTCGGAAGAAAAGGAAGGCAGTTCCCCAGGTGGGCACACAGGATCTAGTGATACTTGTTTCTTGCTGTCCTAAGTGACCTTGCCTGATTCTCCTGAGTTCATTTCGGGAAGCACCAGCAAAAAAAATTAACCATCCACCTTGGCAAAGAACCTACTCACTCATTCATGCGCTGTTTTAAGTATTGAATGAGCACATGGTGCTTTTCTCACTATTTATTACACATTCTATTTCTCTTCCATTTAGCTGCAGATGACATACACGATGCTCCTCTCTACTTCATCCTCACAACAAGGCTAAGTGTGAAGTCAAAGGTTACCCAGTGAATTTTTTGGCTCATTAGTAACTCAGACCTGATCTCCATAGTCACAGTGGAGATCTCTATATAGAACAGCTCATTGTGTCCTGCACTTCTCTGGAAGGAGTAAATGCCAGATAAAGTAACAAACTAGTTGTTGTGGGCAGGCTCAGAAGGGCAGACTCAGAATCACAGAAATACATTGTTGGAAGAAATACCTGTTATCTGTCCAAGTGCAGGAATCTACATGTGACATCTGATAAAAAGCTCCAACAAAGGAGGGTTGACCATCTTACTAGTAGATTATTCAGGAACTCCTTTTGGGTAATTTGAATATATTTTAGAATAAATATAAAATACTACTTTCCAGTACAGTGCATAATTGCTTGACTTGCAGTCATTTCTCTGATGGAGGGATGGCTCCATTTTGCTTTCTAGCTGTACTGGAATCGTAAAATGCAATACAGAGATGAGTGTATTCAGTTCATATGCATTTGCCCAAGATGAAACTAATGCTTTGTATGAAACTTGAACTATATCTACAAAACCTTCTATACATGATTCCACAACAAAAAAATTAAAGAATGTAAGAAAATTATTTCAGATTATTTAAATAAAAAGACATACCTAATTTTATTCGTTATCTAGCTAACGTAATTGTGTTGCATTTAAGTCAAACGTTTCTTCCTTCTTTTGCATTTAAGCACTCACCAGCCTCACTTATTTCAATTGATGAAGTCATATATGCTTACAGCTGTGAGAATCAGTAGGACTTGAAAGACCTTGTATTTGGCAAAATGTTGTAAGCAGACCCCACTGTTCTGGAGTCCCAAGTAAAAATTGGTACCAGATGTATAAGGAAAAATAGTTGGGATAGAGAAAAGTATATTGGGAAAGGCAGAAATCTTTGCGGTTATGTTGAATTGTAACTTTTGGTTGGATCTTGATTTCCTCATAGATTTATTTGGTTTTTATTCCACCTTTTTCCAAGGTAGCTAATTTCTTGGATTCAGTGGGACTTACATTTAGTCATGATTTGGTATTGATTCCTCATAACAGCATTTTCATTACTGTCAACACAGCAATTCTGTGCTTTTCCTACTGTTGTAGGAATGAAGATTAAACCCAGCACACCATATATTGTGTAAGGAGTTCAGAAACATTCCTTGAGAGATGATAGACATATGGCTGAAAGTATCTAACTGATTTTCTTTTTGTTTTCAGGTACTCCAGGGGTTACCACTAGCCCTGTGATGGGTGTCCAGACCCCTTCCACAGGCCTTTTGGGTGCAAGGCCTGGTTTGATACCACTCCAGCGACCCCCAGGAATGCCACCACCTCATCTACAACGGTTTCCAATGATGCCACCTCGGCATGTGCCTCCCCATATGATGCACAGAGGCCCACCACCAGGCCCAGGAGGCTTTGGGATGCCTCCACCTCATGGGATGAAAGGCCCTTTCCCACCACCTGGTCACTTTGCAAGGCCTGGTGGAATGCCTGGAGGACCTGATGATAATAGAGATGGAAGGCAGTTCAGGAATGACAGGCAACCATTTACTCCAAATAGAGACCAGGAAAGGTTTGGAAGGAGGTCATTTGGAAATCGGATAGAAAATGAGCGTGAGCGCTATGGTAATCGCAATGACGACAGAGAGCATGAACGCCTTGGTAACCGTGAAAGGAGAGAATGGGGAAGAAGAAGCCCTGAACGTGATAGACACAGAGACCTGGAGGAAAGAAATAGGCGTTTCAGCGGACAAAGAGACAGAGATTCAAGAGATAGGGAATCTCGTAGAGAAAAAGATGAAAATCGGGGAAAAGAAAAACCTGAGTTGACAGACAGGGCAGATGGTGTTAAGAACCATGAATCCCAGAGTGGCAAATTAGAAAACACAGACTCTGTTTCAGAACTGAGTAAAGGGGAATCTAAACCTACAGGTGTAAAACCTGAAGAGTCAGCATCTGAGACTACCTCATCTCGTGAACAACCTGAAAAATCTACTGATTCAGTTGTAGATGCTTCTCACTAGAGACTGGATTTTTGTCAAATGAAAAGTGACATTGAAGTGTAGAGCTTTAGTTGTACAATACGCTGTATATTTGCTTTTGCTATATCACAATTCCTCTATAGTTTATGGGGATATGTAAGCAATTTGATTGCTTCCCTTCTATTTAAAATAGCTACAGAATAACACAAAACAAATGAATAAACCATTACCCTTTTTTTGCTGTAACTTTTTAAAAGTTTTGACTTTAAAAAGTTCACAAGTCAGAATTAGAAGTGCTTTCTATTTTTTTTTTTAATTTAAGTGAAGGTAACGGTAAAAGATCCTAAAAACAAATAGGGATGTTTTTAATAAACTCTATTTTCATAACAAACTTCAATGTGTGCTATTCTTCCTGCACTGCACAGAAGTGATAAGGATTGTTCAACATCTTAAAGTTTGAACTGTTAATGCTGTACTGCAGTCTAAATTAGACTTTGTTTAAATCCGTTAAACATGTTTGTATAACAGTTGACAGAAGCATAGTATATGTGATAGTTACGTTGATTCTTAAATTTATGCATTTTAATTTACATGACTATGCTAGATTAAAATATAGTAGCTTTTAAGTGTTTTAAAAGGAAATTAATTACTTGCAGTGAAATTGGTTTATTTTCTGCCTCTTTTTTTTCCTGGCCATCAGAGATGCTGTGATAAATGTTGCCCTTGGAACAGTCTGCCTGACAGTGCCAAGGTCTCTGAGAAAGTACATCAGCACACTTTTGTAAATTTAATATTTAAACATTTCCACACTACCTTATAATTTCTTCATCACCAAGAAATGCCATAAGCTTGGAGAAATATTCCAGAGCAAGTGTTTTAAATGGTTGTTCCCAAAATATTATCTTATTGCTTTTGCCAATATCATACTATTTCCAAAAGCTGGTCAAGTACTGTTTATAACATATATTGAAAAATTAGTTCACTTAGCACATTCTAAAATGCAGTCATGATTTAGCAAATATCAGCTAACCAGAACTGTATCTGTTGTTTCCAAATTAACCCTAGGCAAACTAATAATCTCCGCAACAAACAGCAGCACACAAAATATTATCCCATTTTGGTTTTGTATCTCTTAACCTACTGGGCTGATATGCTCCGTACTTCTCTTACTGTTTCTAGTCAGCTGAAGGCAGAGTTTCCCACCCACCAGTTAATTTTTTGAAAGGCAGGATTTGAAGTTTTTACTGCAACAAGAGAATAAAGAAAAATATACTTGTAAAATCAATTTCCACTTGTTAAATTCTGTTTCCCCACCACTGTCAGCAGTAAAATCTGCTGAAAGTTAAATTTTAAAGTGTTTTAGTATCTGTATTTGAAAGGGGATGTCATGTAGACATAAGAGTGTATGTAGCCACTATTTCAAAATCTCAATGTAGGTAACTGAAGCAGCATGCCTGCATTGATACAGTCAAACCAACCCTTCAAAATTCCTTGGAATCAACAGAATTGAAATTTCAAATGACACAAGGTTCATGGGTATTTTACTTAAAGACTACTATAGTTTTATTAGAGTTGAACAGGTATTATAATACTTAATTTTTATTGCCAGTATTCACTACTGCTCTGAAGGACAGCTTGGATGTCCCCTGGAAGTTTATTTAAAATACAGTGTAATGTTTTATTTGAACTCATATATGGCATAAACAGCTTGCTTAAAGGCAAAATGTAGATGGCTCCAGGTAAGATTTTGCCAGTTTGGGTCACAAAAACAGCCTCTACATTCTTCAAGAATTAACAATGCCAAATTGCTCCAAGGCAGCTATGTAAAACAAATGCATTGTGCCTTGTGTGGTAAAAGGTTAAGACCATTTGAAAGTATATTAAAATTTGTATGGGTATGTTAGACACACACAAATTAGCATTTTAAGCAGTAGCACTGTCCTCTAACTTTTCCAATGTGTGTGATATGACTACTCACTGCTAGCAAAGTGGTTGTGTCAATCCTTACTAAATAAAATTAACAGCTGGAGTAATTACCAACAGCAGTATTGACATGGAAGGAACTCTGCTATGTATGCCTGGCAGCCATCTTTACAAGTATGTAGTTGAGTAACACATTGTTATTGTTGAATAACTCAGAGAAATTATTTAAGCAGTCATCTCTATTTACTTTCTATAGTAGAGATGTGTCTTTGCTCCAACAGGTGTCCTTGTGAAAATGTTATGCAACTTTAGATCACTTAAGTCAAACTTTAGTTGAACTTTCTATGAAATGTAAGCTATCTAGAACCCAGTTTCTATAGGAAGTAAGACAATAGTGTTCTACATAGCTTATTTAAAACAAATCCTTAGATAATCCATAGAATTCCAATTATACTTTCTCTTGAAAAGCAAAGGTACATTTAAGACTCCACTTAAGTTTCCCTACATGTTTATTTCTGGAAATGTATAAGATATGGCAGGAGAATCAGTGACAATTGAATTTAGAAGTTTTAGTTTGAGAGATGGAACTTATCTACATGAGCTCTGAAGGACAAGAAGCCAGGGTAGCTTGCCTATTCAGATTAGAAATCCTGTTATGATAACTCATTAAAAATATGGTAATTTAAGAGCCTTCAAGAATAAAGATTGACATAATTAGCTTCATATTTATCACCACCAGGTAATGTTTTTTTGTCCAGATGAGCTCAGCCCAGAGGACTTCACCACTCAAGTAGAAGTTGACTGCTGGCCAGTATCCACATAACGGCAATAACTTATAAATTATGTTTCACAGCCACTTTAATTATAGGTATACAAAATATGACATGTCAGCTTAACTTCCAGATTAAACAAAGCCATAGGATTAAGTGGTTCCTTTTTTTTCTCTAAGCAAAGAAATATCTGAGAATTCCTCAAGGACAATCCATATGTGGTTTTTCATATACAATGCTTCTCTTGAAGTATCTAAGCCTTAGCCAGTCCAATCACACCACAAGCTAAACGAGCACCAGCATTTCCAGTTTTCAAGCTCTCTTCGTTTCCACCTTTACCCAGATCATCTTCTTTTGCATGAACCTAAAAGGAGCAGAAGCAACAAATAAGACCAAGGTATTCAGATGAGGAAAATTCCTAACTTATTGGCCACTTTAACTATCTTTTGGTTCTTTGAAACATAACTTTTTAAGGGCAGTTTTAAACAGAATACATTAAAAATTTGTCCAACTACCTTTGTATTGGCTGGCCTTTTATTTGCTGCAACAGTTTATATGTTTAGCACCTCTTGCGGCAATTAATATGGTATCTCAGCTAAGATGCTGGAAAGACTTCTGCACCAACTTGAGCATAAGGGACAGTGAGTATGAAGTGGTTTCCAATCTAATTTCAAGTCAAACAGTTGATTTCACTCATGGAGCAAGTGAGTCAGAAGGCAATACACAAATACTACATAACAAGTAGTTTCTCTAACAACCTGCAGGTTAGTGCAAAAGGTAACCTTTAGAAGAAAAGTAGTTTACTGTGTATTCATACACCCTTCACTGTCACAGCAATGTTGAATTTTTAAACAACCATATTTGGCAGCCTTTCCACTATAGCTGTTTACACTGACAGGGCTCCAAAGTTGCCAGCTTCCCCCAAATCTTCCTGTTGGCCAGTATGAACAGCAATTAGGCTACATGATTTGTTCACAGAAACAACTCCATCTGATGACCAAATGTATAAGCATTCAAGTATAACATACAGAACTGCATCCTACGTTTTAAAATACTGGCTGAAGAGCTTAAAATATTTTAATACTGTGCATGTCTTAAAGTGTATTAACAAGGTACCAATCATATGCAAAAAAATGCAGGGGGAACCATGTTTAAAGATGCTTTAAGCTCACTTTTAGTCACACTGATATCCAACCAATCTGTCTGAAGCAAAGACAACATACACTAGAAGCTTTAGGTCTAAATATCAGCAATTTAGTCTTGAGAAATATAGCCAAACAGCAGGAAAGAAAGTCTCAAAATGTGGGTAAAAGTATTTTCATTCACCTAAAAATAACACATTTCAGTCAACTTATTTTGTGGAACTCAAGGGCTATTAAGAGTCATTTTTGATATCCCATGAAGAAAACCACAAAATAGTTGGTTTAGCATTTTTAAGGCAAAAAAAATCCTATTTCTTCACATCTTCAGATTTGCACTTTGGTCAAACTAGATGTTTCTGTTGTCTTTTGATCCTTGAGAGATGCAACTGAGATTTCACAAATAAAATCTCTTCAAAAAATTACTGCCATGATAAATTTTCCAAAAATGTGTGGGGAAGTCAGATTCAAGGGATACTTACCACCATAGTACGTCCAATAACTGAATGTGGCCCCGAGAGAGAAATAACATGGTCCTTTTTTGATACACTTGCCACACCTAATGCATCTGCAGTCACATTTCCAAGATCACCAACATGCCTGTAATACAGTTAATCGACTGCTGTAAAAGCCGGATTTTTCCATTAGTGACTGCTGGATAGGATTTCCTGAGGTACAAGCTATGCAGCTATACTCAAACCTGCAAAGCAACTGGAATTGTCAGTTTTACTTTGATGTCCTTGGTCAAATGTTAAGAATACTGCAGCTAGCTAAAACTGGATTGGTAAGTGTTAGCATAAACCCTAGTTTTCTCACAGCTCCATTTTTCACTTAGCATTTGCCATATTTATACTTAAATAAAACACAAATCTTGTATCCAGCCTGACGGAAAGCAAATCGGCCAGAACAACATCCACCTACAACTAAAAACCATTTAATAGTCTTGCTTTACAAAAATATGCCATCACGTATGAAAAGAAAAAAAAAAGATCCCTAATAATGATATTAGCAATTTTTCATTTTTCTGTTTAAGTTGAGCATTTATCATGGTAAAAATGCTGGAATTCTGTACCCATGCAACTCCTACAGCATCTGTTGTTAATAGCAACACAGAGAGATGGATTCATAATTGTACAAATGTCCAGGATGTTCTGAAGAGTTCTGCTGGAGTCCTATTTGTAATTTAGAACTCGCATTAGAAAATTGGTATTTTCAATGTAACTCAAATGTACACATATATTGATGCCTCTAACTGTATGGCTGTATTTTGCTTGTTCTACTAGTGCCTGTATTAACATCTTTATTTTATGCAATGCTAAATAAACTAAATGTAGGACAAATCTCTGTTTTCAAACTGGTGTTCACATACACACCTCTTAACACCTTAGTTTGGTAGTCTTCAAAAGATAGGCTTATTTTCCTTAATGTTTCTCACAGGACCTATTCCTGAAAAGTTAGAAGCATTTTTGTATCTTCTACTTTTCAGAACACATGAGTAATTCTTTTTGAATGAGCAGACAGAAGTGCATTGCAAGTATTCACAGCTATGGAATCCACACAGAAGACTAGAAAACAGCTTTCTGTCTACAAGCCCCATAGCCACACATTCCCACTGCTTTTGCTGGAACAGTGTCATAGAATAGTCGTCAGCCATTCCATCCAAACAAATACCCAACAGTGGAGTCTCTAAAAGCAAGGCACACTTGATTTTAAAAAGGTTCATAATGGTCTTGAATGGAGAAAAGGTTGGAGGACCAAATGACAGCCGACATTTAATGCCAGGGAGTAAAGAAAATAAGTTTTATGAGAGTTTCATCATAGGAATAGATGTGCATAAGGTAGAGAAAAAGACAATCCATCAAGATAAGAATTCTCAAGAGTTTACAGACACAATGGCTGAAGTCCTGTTGCTTAGCGTAGTAAAAGAGAATTTAACAAGTTAACTCCTTAAGAATTCAATTGGACTGTTCTATTTACTTACTACCAGTAAGTAGCAGAAAAATGGTATTCAGGGATAATTACTTGATTGTGTTTTCATACGTCTCTACAGAACTTACTGAAGAGATCCAGAAACAACAATAAATAAGAAAGTACATGTGAGGGAAAACAGCATTAATAAATTCTGTCCCTATACATGTGCACTTATAATTCCCTTTTAGATACACCTGCTTAGTGAGATGGTAAAGCAGCATGTCTTTTACTTCTGCTTTGCAAGAGCAACTGCAGTATTCTGCATGAATGGATGCTCAGAAACAGAGAACCAATTTACAGGCTCACTTCTGTCTTTCTTTCAGGAGCTTTATTGTGGTTCCCCACTACAGAGACAGCAGAACCTTTTACCCTCTGGAAGAACAAGGACTAATGACAACTTTTTTTTAAATTGCCCAGTGCAAGACTAAACTAAGTAGATTGCCCCGTTTAATGACGAAACTGCATTACGATGAACTTTTTGTGATCGCAAAATGATATTTCCTATGCGGGAATTTTGCATTGCGATGATCGATTCTGTGCTTCGGGAACCGATTCTTCGCAAAACGAGGATTTACAAACAGCTGATCAGCGGTTTCAAAATGGCCAGCGGGTAAACAAAATGGCCCCCCGCTGTTTTCTGGGATGGATTCCTCACTGCACAGGCAGCAAAAATGGCTGCCCTATGGAGGATCTTCGCTGTATGGTGAGTTTCAAGCCCTTTGGAACACATTAAACAGGTTCAATGGGTTTTTCTTTTCGCATTATGATGTTTTAGTTCTACAATGATTTTGCTGGAACGAATTAACATAGTAATGCGAGGCACCACTGTACGTTTATTCAGATGCGGTCATGCCATCTTCTGGTTGCTGCACAATGGTGGAGGGTGTGGTTTCACTTAACAGGGGCTTATTTTTGGGGTTGGGCTTACATTACGAGCATCCTGAAAAATCGTACAGTCGTGCCCCGCTTAATAACTGTCCCACATTATGACGAATCCGCTTTACGACGTTGTCCCACATTATGACGAATCGCTTTATGACGATATTTTTTGCGATCGCAAAACAATGGTCTAAATGGGGGAATTTCGCTTAGGGATGATCGCTTCCCTGCTTCGGGAACCGATTTTCACTTTACAACGATCAACAACAGCTGGTTGTTGGGTTTTCAAAATGGCTGCCGGGTGCTTAAAATGGCTCGCCGCTGTGCTTAGGAACGGATTCCTCACTATACAGGCACCGAAAATGGCCGCCGTATGGAGGATCTTCGCTGAACAGTGAATTTTTACCCCACTGGAATGCATTGAACGGTTTTCAATCCATTTCAATGGGGTTTTTAATTTCGCTTTACGATGTTATTTTCAGGTTAGGTCTTATTTTCAGGGAAACACGGTAGTAAGTCACACTAGAGTAGGCCCACTGAAGCAGTAGGGTTTTGATGAATCAACTCCTCTGTAAATTCAATTTATTCAAATGGGCCTACTTTAGTTGCAACTTACTTTATCATAATCATCTTAGAACTGCTGAGCTGGAAGGACACGGAGTCTACGGATAGAGTCCAGCCCCTGTCAAGGAGGCACCGTGTGGAATTGAACTCCCACATAACTAGTGTAAGTTTCATTTGAATTAAAGGAATGTACAGAGGAACTGATTCAGCAAATGTCAATTGATTCAATTAGTCTACTGTAGTGCCATTTATTATATCAAGCAATAGGATTTCAGCTAAAGAATGTCATATATAACTCCCATCTTTATTTGCTAGGTAGCCATGTGACATCAGCATTATTCTCTTCACTGATACCATTGTTACTACTTTTGAAGAGCAAGAAGATTAGCAGAAGGGCAGGAGTAAACAGGTAAAGTATTGCTGCATGCTGTACTTAGGTGGCTTAGATTGAAAAGGGTAAGAGTTTCTATACTAGCCCATTTGAAACAGCACACAGTAAGAAACTGTTCACTTCCTACCTTTCTTCATCATCTGGTCCACCATGTGTTTTGTTCTCAGGATTGAAGTGTGGGCCTGCACTGGTACATCCTGTAACAAATTATTCAGTATCAATTTTCCCCTATGTGTCACATTATGTAAATCAGTCAAAGATGGCACTCAAGAGTCGTATTTACAAGCCACTCACAATGCATAAGGTAAAGATAAAGGTTCCCCTTGACAATTTGTCCAGTTGTGTTCAACTCTAGGGCAGTGCTCATCCCCGTTTCCAAGCCATAGAGCCAGCGCTTTTCCGAAGTCAATCTCCCGTGGTCACATGGCCAGTGCGACTTAGAGACGGAACACTGTTACCTTCCCACTGAGGTGGTCCCTGTTTATCTACTCGCATTTGCATGCTTTCGAACCGCTAGGTTGACAGGAGCTGGGACAAGCGACGGGCGCTCACTCTGTCACGTGGATTCGACCTTACAGCACAGAGGCTTCTGTGGTTTAACCCACAGCGCCACCACGTCCCTCTCCCACAATGCATGCGTGCGTGTGTGTGTGTGTGTGTGCACGTGTGTGTAAAAAACACTCTTTTGACTGTGGAGGTTGTGTACATCTATTTATATTCTTGAATATGGAATGGGGAGTCTGCCACAAGCCCTTTTTCCATTTATAAGTTAAGAAGGACTCTGTGTTTTGTACCCAGCCAAAGCAGTGCACATCATTGCAAAGTGAATTTGAAAAACTGTTTCTACATTGAAGTACTGTATTTTAATTTTTTTGCATCTTAAGTGGTATCAGAATATTAAATTTTAAACACAAATAAAATGTTACCATTAGTATTGTCTCCAAACTCATGGACATGGAACCCATGCTTCCCTGGAGTCAGTCCTTCAATAGATCCCGAAACACATACCTCACTACCCTGGATTAGAAGACAAACAGAACAAGTTATTCTATAAAAGGTAAGGCAATCTGATCAGTCCAAGCACATTGAGACATAACTGTACCACATCAGAACACAGAGCAGAGAATTAACCTTAACCAAGACAGGTTTAAATGCAGGCCTACAGTAAAAAGCTTGCATTTTCATCCTGGCATATGCAACCTCAAAGCTGCACCAAACAGCATGGGTAGTTGCTTCAAAACCTCTTGTCCATCCAGTGGTCAAAATATGTAAAGCTCCCAAACCCGCAATCACAAGAGATAACGCACATTAGCCAAGATACTATGCATATTTCCCCCCAATACCCTGAATATAAAGCATGCAGACACTACTGCCACGCACAGAATGCCATCATGTTAGGTGTCTCTAAGTAACTGTTATCATTCTAAGCTGCTTGCAACACAACACACAATGCTGCCAAGTGGTTCAAGTCACACTATGCATTTGTTTCTCAGCTTCCACCATAAGATAAAGATTAAGACCAAAGCAACAGAACTTTGCTGCTTGCTATTGTATTTTAGCAAAACTCAAGTTGCTCTTAACAGTTTGTTTCATTGAAATTATGGCTTGCAAATAAACGTATTCAAAAGCCATTCCCTAATGCAATGATTCAAGTTGGTCTTGTCAACGCCTTTTGTTATGTAAGGCAGAACTCAGTGTATTACTTTATGCTTTTAAGCTGTTACAAAAGAGACATGAATGCCCAGGTTCCCAGCTGTTCACTCCAGACACAGGAACAGTCTGAAGGAAAACTTCAGGGATGACAGTGAAGAAGCCAGATACTGTATAGAAGTCACCCCGATTCTATTCTCTTTTATTTTATTTATTTATTTATTTATTTATTTATTGGATTTTTACCCCACCCCTCTAGACCATGTCTACTCGGGGAGAAAGCTGGTCTGTTCATTTCAACAGCTTACTTTTCCAAGTTACTTTTTTTGAACTACAACTCCCAAAATCTCTCAGCCATCCCAGCTATGCTGGCTGGGACATTCACAAAAAATTATCCAGACTGATATGCCAATTATTTTTATGACCACCATGCATAAATCATTTGCAATACCATAATTCAGACAAGACATCAAAGACATATGAAATTTTTTATTTACTTGTATCTACACTGTCAATCTATAATATTTATACAATAACCTCATCAGTGTTGACACTCGTTATGCAAGCATTTCAGAAACTTGGGCCAGAATCCTGTTGGTGACTAACATGTGCTTATTCCATAATCTGGCATGTACCTCAACCCCAATACCACCTTTTTCCTCATCAATTTGCCAGGACGAGTTGTACAATTTTACATAAGTGCATGTAAATCACTAACAGGATTCTGTGTTTTATTATAGAAAATAATAATAGGAATGGAACCTTATCAAAGAAGACTGGCACATCAAGAGACTTCAAGCAGTAATCATTATCATTCATACTGGAGGAATATTGATCAGCCAAAATGTAACTATTTCTCACATGGGACAGCAATGCAAGAATCTTCATGATCGTAAAGATAGATAACTTGCAATCCTGATGTTGCTGGACTGCAATTCTCATCAGTACTAGCCAGTATAAGCAATAAAGAAGGCTGCTAGAAATTTCTACCCAACAATACCTAGAAGACCTAAAGCTTCCCTCCCAGATGTACAGAATAAATACATGTTATATGAAAAGTAAAAAGAGTATATTACAGGGATAAGTGTAGATAAAGAACAAGAGATTTTTGTGCTATAATGTTCAAAGCCATCATTTGCTTTCATTTCAACAGAAATGCTTAGGTTAATGTCTTTTAGAAAGAGATTAAAAAACGTATAAATGGGTCCCAGAAAATTAATTTACGACTACATCAAAGCAAGCTCAGACTGCAAAACCGGTTTGCATAGAAGATCGGCATGCAGGGCCCTTCATTACTCTTACTATACCAAGCATGTTAACCGTGTGCCACCATGACTCAGCATTTACTCCCTTTCTTTGGGACATGAAAAAGGAATGCAAGTAAGTTAGCAGCACATTCCTCTACTACTCGATGGAAAAAAGCAGAAACAGGTCAGAAGGATATCTAAATAAAACATTTTAATTCAGAGTGGGTGTGACACACTCAGCTTCTTCAAAAGGTTCCAGGGAAGCTTGCAAACCTTCCATCAAAGCAGTCCAAACCTTTTTAATAGTTCAGCTGTCCTGTCGTGGAACCACTTTATGAAACCAGACAAAATTAAGAAAGTGAAAAAGAGGGGAGAGTACTCCTTGTTCCTGAAATGCCAGCTGCGACAGATGGTGGTCAATTTTTTTCCTTTTCACATCGCTCTGCAAAGTTATTTTCCCTTCTTCGCCTGCTTTTAAAACAAACAAACCAACCTTACTTTTCGGGGGTAGTGGTTTTGCTTTCGGGCATGCTAAAAGTTCATTTTGCCAAGGGTCCAAGGCTACCTTTTAGCTAATCGCAGCCCTAGCCCGATTAGTCTCTAGAAGACTCACTAAAAGGTTTGACACTTGAACAAAGGGGAAAAAGTGGGTCAAGGGCACAGTCGTTCACCCAAAGAAGTTGCAGCAATTAATCCCGATTAGTCAGTAGCACCTAAGGCTCTGTGTGTGTCCACGCAAGTTCACCCGAGAGTAAGCCCCACTGAAAATGGCTATAGTGGGAACTTGCAGCGGTGAGCTGTAAACAAATGGGTTGCAATTAAATAAAATAAATAAAAAAATTATGTTAAATTAAATGCTCTCTGGGGCTAGTCAGCCAGCGTCCCCCCTCCCCACCCGCGTTTCTTAACCCTGGCACACAGATGTCAGGAGAAGGGCTGAGCAAGCTCTCCCGCGGTGCAGCCCTGAGGTCAAGGACCCGAGCCGCCCCTCCACACCCACTGCCTCCAACATCCCCCCGCCCGGTCCCTTCAGAGAAAGACGCAGCGCCCTCGGCCGCCCCAGCCTTGCCTTCTGCTCGAAATGAATGACCCCCTTCACTTGACTCCCGGAGGTCGGGTCAGGGACCAGGACGCAAATCGCTTTCTGCACCGCCATCGTTTTCTGCGCCGCCATGTTTCGCCACTCAATAGCAACCACAGCTCGCCACCCACCAGCTACCCTCGCCCTCCAAGCGCTTGCGCAAACCTTGCCACTCGCCTCATCCACTTTTATAGCCCTCGGTGATAGTCCTCCTACCAATCGACACGCTCGCTGGTGCTTCTGTGCCCGCCTTCGTCGGGCGGCGCGGCCTACCGAGAGGCTGAAACGTTTAGGCTTTGACCAACCAGAGGAAGGGAAAGCTTGCGCTCCCTCTCCCTTTCTCCTGGGCCAATTTTGAAAGGCGTAGGTTTCTCGGTGTGTAGATGCCCCCCCCAGACAAAGGCAAAAACTAAAAGATAAAATAAAAATTTAAAACAAATCGTGTGTGTGTGCTTTTTGGTTTAATTTCAGTGTTTTCCGTCTGGATCTTCCAAGCCAATTGCCCTTCGGGGTTGTTTTCACTTTAGACCTTAACCCACGCAAGACTGGCCTTAAATACAGTACAGTACTCTTAACCAAGCAACTTATCTATCGCTATTCAGGGCGGGACTTACTCTCAGCCGCCTGAGGATCAATTCCCTAATAGCTATTAAAAATGAACTCGGGGTGGGTCGAAGGAAGTTTAAAAATTGTCATTTACGCTTGTGCGTCAGGAATTGCGACGAGGTGTTCCTTCATTGCCTTTTACATACTAGTGTGTGTAAAATCACGTTTAAGCGTAACCCGGCAGGCAACTCGTTACATAAGGAGTGGTGCTATTAATATGGATTTTTTAATATTAGTTGTATGGCTGCCTATGGGGTGCTGAAGACTGATAAGAGAACGATATAAAGTTCAGGGGGAAAATTCATCTCGAAGGGCCTCCAAAATTTCTCTTTAAAGGATGAGTTTAAATGTAACGCGAAGACGGCGGTAGGTAACGAGACACAATCCTGCGAGACCGGCTTCAACCTTTCCCTCAGTAAAAATCACATCAAAGTGTTACAAACGACTCGTGATTCTTAGGTGATTCGTATGTAGCTCTTTACTTCCAAGACCTATCAGATGGACAAATTAAAAGCAAGTTTTTCCCCTACCTTTCTTCGTGGCATGATAACGAGTTATAGTCTGCCTTTCACAGTTTTTTGGGATAATTCTCTTTCTGGAAAAGTGGCTGGCCAGTGCGTCCCCTGATCTGAACAGGTTCTGTGACCTGAGCATGCCTCCTTATTCCTGTTCTGTGGGGGGATGAAGTTCCACTGGCCAGCACCCTCTCTCACACACTAAACACAGTTTTTACAAGTTTTTAAAGACACAGAAGCTATACTATTAGTATTTCCAAATCAAAAATTTGCAGTACTTATTTGACACTATCAAACTCTGTGTGTGTGTGTGAATTTACCCGTGACAACTGCAGCTTCGTTTGTACTGATAGGTGGCTGGCTTATGTGTTGAAACGGTTAGAAAGACAAGAAGAGATTAACTATGAAAGCATAGAATTGTCTGGGCCAGCATTCTGCTCTCCACATGTAGCCAGCCACAGGTTTCTTGGAAAGCTCAGAAAAGAACATGAGGGCAATAGTCCATTTCTTCTGTTAATTCCCCTGCTATTAACAGAGGTGGAGAATGCAGCCTCTAGTATTGGTGGATATATGTTGCAATCATGAATGGTAGCCATTGATAGCTTTATTCTCTTTATTCACTTGTATAACTCTCTTTTAAAGTTACCCAACTGGGAAACCATCACTACATCTAACATTCCATTGTTAGATCATGTGTTTCTCAACTTAATGTTTGAATGCATTTGAAATCACCTGCATATGGTTTGTTTATGAATGTCTTAATTCCTATGCCACAGGCAACAGCCCTCTTACACAGCCTATTCTATGTTTTTCTCAGGACTTCTGGAAGACATCTAATTTTAATTGCAATCCTTTTTCACTGGAGGATGAGAATCCTAATTATGTATGTGTGTTTTTACTATGATCTTGGTGCTAGTTTTATTAGGTATGTACTGATTTTTCTCCTGGGTGTGAAGGATTAATACACAAATCTAGGTGTGCTGATCAGAGGATTGCTGTAGAATCTAGGATATATATGACAGTAGTTATACATTTGCTTCACTACACCTCAAAGCCAGCTCATAGTTCTGATGCCACTAACCAGTGTACTGTTCTTCTTCCCATGTTTATGTTTGTTTGTATATACACACATATGTCATACACCGATCAACAGAGATACCACCAGCCATCTGATGAAATGAGGGTGTGACTGCAATGGCATCCTTTAGTCTCGAGAGATTATGCTAGCGTGCTCTGAATAGAGGTCTTGGAACAGTGTCTAGTGTGGCTGAGAAGGCCAATTCAAGAGTGACAATGAAAACAAATACACACTGAAAACAAATACAATCTGCCCCCTGTCCAGCTCCCTGATTTTGCTGGTTTCAGGACTGCCTCTTTGCCTCAGCCTGATGAACATGTGCCTCTTCAAATTGGGAGAGGCCATGCTGCACCGCCAGCCGCCAGGCTGAACACTCAGATGTCAAGGTTTCTCATCTCTTGAGGTCCATTCCTAAGGCCTTCAGATCCTGCTTGCAGATATCCTTGTAACGCAGCTGTGGTCTCCCTCTGGGGCTCTTTCCATGCATTAATTATCCATACAGGAGATCTTTTGGAATCTGACCATCAGCCACTCTCACAACATGACCAAGCCAACGTAGACGTTGCTGTTTCAGTAATGTATACATGCTAAAAATTTGAGCTCGTTCTCGGACTACTGTATTTGGAACTTTGTCCTGCCAGGTGATATCAAAATGTGTCGGAGACAGTGCATATGGAATGTGTTCAGGTTCCTCTCCTGCCATGCATAAAAGCTCCAGGACTCATTGTAGTACAGGAATGTACTTAGGGTGTGACTGCACAGCAAGAAAAATGCAAAGTGATCCTTTCTGAGATAACACCTAGCAAGTTAAGTTTCCCCAGGTGAATTTACTTTTGTGGACCACACAGGAGTCAGCAGAAAAGCAGAGGAATTGCCAATCTGAATTTGTTAGCACTTTTAAAAGGAAGCTGTACTACACGCATCCAGATTTGCAGGAGGCAAGGTAGCTGTAGAACTACAGTGGTGGCACAAAACCATTTGGGGGGGGGGGATGAACAATTTCCAAACATAGCAGTGCTTGTTTGAGGGGAACTGATGACCTACAAGTGCCTTTTTGTTTCCTCTCTCCCCACCTTAAACTAGGAAGCTGGGAGAGCCAGCTTCTAGTTGCCCATTGCATTGGCTGAAGTGATCACACTGCCTGAACCAACATGAATGTGTTCAGTTCTGAAAAACATTGAAGCCCCAGCCACAGAGGGAAAAATAACAGACTGAAATGTGTGGGGGGGACTCTGGGTTGATTCACATTGACTTTTACATCAAGTAGTCAACTGAAAAATAATACAAATCAGACCATCCCTATCCAAGAGCATTTCCCACAGTACTGGTTAATGTGGTCATATCCTAAGTATTAGTCTACAAATATTTACGCTGCAGCAAATTTTGCCAGTTCCAAATGTCACAAGATTATAATCATATCCACACTTTCTTGGAGGAAGATCTATTAAACCTAGTGGAGCTTATTTCTCGGTAGATATGTATGTATAAGATTGCACCATAGCATGGCTACATTTTAGGAATGTAGAAGCTTTGCTGTAACACAACTGTTTTTCAAAGTGCCATACTAACGTAAACCCTACCTTCTGGGTGCTCTAATTTGGAAGACTCCTATATGGAACTCAGTGGAATGTCTGATTGCAGAAGGAAACTGAGATTTAACCCCTCACTGTTTCTTTATCCCATCTTACCATATTTCCCCCATGCTTGTTTGGTTGATCCCTACTAGCTACTGGTCATTACTCCTCAAACATACACCATTTCCCTCCACTACATATTTCCTGAAGCAGCTATCTAGCTTATCTATTTATTTGGAGCATTATTGCAACTGAAGTGGACAGAAGATGAGCAGAAGGCTAGTATAAGGGGTGCTCTGGGCAATTTCCCAATACGAACCTCATCTTGAAGAAAATCAGAGATACAGTCACCTTTTCTATTTAATAATCTCAGTGATGATGTTATCAAAAAAAGAGGACCTTGATAAAGAGAGTTGTCAGCCTTTTTGAAATGACAAGTAGAGTGACTGTGCACATTATGCAGATCAGGAAAAGAGCTGAAGAAAAGAGATAAAGAGACATTTTGCAAAACTCAAACACAGTTAAAGAAAATACTGTTTAAAATGATGGAGTTATAAGCAAAGCCTTTTCTTTGGGTCATCAAGCATTTGGAAATATCGAGTGTACCATCATTTATGTAATATCAGACAGTTTATGAATTCTACTTTGGGTTTGCATTTTGTCAGTGCTTTTTGCTTTTTTGTGATGTGGGATTTTCAGAAGAGGCCACCTTATGAGTTTAAGATCGACAGATTTATGTATTAAAGGCAACAGTGGCTACGTGAAAGAGATTTTGAAGAGAATATCATCTCAAATGCTGTTGAGGAGCTAGTCATTCCATTAATTAAAACCAGGTTTCCGGATTGCCCTTATGAAACAACACATTTATTAGTTGTATCAATCACATGTGAATCCCAGCTGAAAACATTAAACGGCCATGACAGAGGCATAATTAAAGCCTTGTCTCTTTCTCAAAATATACTCAACACAGTACCCTACAGATTGAGAGCTGAAAAAAATTATGAAAGCAAGCATGAAATACTTAGTTAAGTACATCTCCTGTTGGATGAGTTCTTGTAATTATGAGTTTGTTTCATGTTCTTATGAAGTTATGTTGAATGGAACTTGTTTTCTACTTGGAATTCTGAAAATGTAATGATGTGAACAAAACTGAAAGAAACAGAAAAGTTTCTGATTTGATTGTGAGGACACAGATTAGTATATTTGTGCACAATACAGTATTTATGACACCATATGCCCAGGATAGTACATTGTCTTCCAACAATGAAGAAAGATGCTGCTTGCTCATTAATTCTTCTTATTTATTTGCACCTTCTGCTAAAATAGGGACACATTTTTCTTGCTGTGCAGTCACACCCTAAATAACAAGATATACTTGACTATATATACTAGTCAAAGCAA